GATTTTGTGCAGAGATATCAAAACAACAAGGTTTAGAGGTTATATTTCACCTTCCTCATAAATTCTTGGACCTTTCCTGGCAGCATTTGTGAAAGATTGTCATGCATTTTCATTTATTATTTACTGCAAGACTTGGACATTGCCATCATTTTCAATCCCCCATCATCTGGATTGCCACACATGGTCTTGATGTATGCTAAGTTCACATCAAGCCCGCTCTGTGGTTTAACAAAATTGACACTAATTGCATTAAGGCAGGATGTCATGAAATTTTCCGTGTGATCAAAATTAATGAAGTATAAATAAAATATTCCAACACTGAAGGCGGAATGTAGTGGAAGCACCCACTGCAGAGAAATAAAGCCTAGTTTTCAAAATAGTGTGACAGCAAATTGCCACAAGCTTGTTTTGGTACAGTTAGGGGAGGAAATATGTGAAGTATAAATGCCCCCCTTAATAGCAGTGATGGGGACCATAAAGGGACAATGGTAAAGTCAGGGTACCGTCCTGGGTAAAGTCTATTAAGTTTCACGGTATTTACGATTAAATAGGTTATCAGACTTTTTAAAATAATGTTGATTTAAACCCCAAAGTAGGCAGATTTTGTAAAATTACTCGACATTTGGGTGATTTGGATCACCTGTGGCCTGGAAGGGAAAATAATATCTAGGGAAAAAAGTTTGAAAGTCCACCTCTATGTTTAGAAACTATTTCTTTCTGTTTATGGTATAATGGATGGTTACCTACAGCAATGTTATGATTCACCCAGAATTCACCCAAATCAACAAAATGAAGGGACAAAAATGAAGGGAGGGGGCTATTTTTGAACATGAATACATTTGAAAAGCTGATCTTTTCACATGAGGATCAAGTCCACTCACACCCTCTCACTTTAATACATACACCTTGCTAATTCCAGGTCATCTTCTGAACTGTTTTCATTCTTTTTGGTACAGATTCAACAAGGTGCTGGAAACATTTTTTAGAGATTTTGGTCTATTGTGACTGTGTCATGCAGTTGCTGCAGATTTGTTAGCTGAACATCCATAATGCAAGTCTACTGTTCCACCACATCCCAAAGGTGCTCTACTGGAGTGAGAGCTGATGACTGTGGAAGGCATTTGTGAACTCATTGTCATGTTCAACAAACAAGTTTGAGAAGATTTGAGCTTTGGGACATGGTTTTTTATCTCATTAGAAGCAGCTGTCAGAATGCTGACACGGTCAGCAACAATACTCAGGTAGGCTGAGGTGTTTAAAATATTGTTTAGGGAGGGAATAAGGAGGGAATAGGGAGCCCAGAGTGTGCCAAGAAATTATCCCCTGCACCATTATACCACCACTGTTAGCCTGAACTGTTGATGCCCAGAAGGATGGATCCATCCTTTCATGTCGTGCCAAGTTCTGACCCTGCCATCCAAAAGTTGCAGCAGAAATCAAGACTCGTCAGACCAGGCGACATTTTTTTTTTTCAATCTTTGCAAATTGTTAGCAGTTCTCATTTGACAGGAGTGGCGCATGGTGTGGTTTTCTACAACTGTAGCTCCTGTGCTTCCATTTCCCATGTGCTCTACATTCAGAGAAGCGTTTCTGCATACTTTAGTTTAACAAGTTGTGTATTATTCACTGTTGCCTTTCTATCAGCTGTGACCTCTGGCATCAACAAAAAACTGCCATACACCGGATACGTTCTCTTTTTCAGATCATTCTCCATAAACACTGGCACAAACAACCATGCCACATTCAAAATCATGTAAATCCACTGTTTCCCTTATTCTGATGCTCAGTTTGAACTTTAGCACATCATGTTGACTATGTCTACATTCTTAAATGCACTGAATTGCTGCCAAGCTGGAAATCAACTTGCATTAACAAGCAGTTGTACAGATGCAAAAAGTGGCCGATGAGTAAATGTTATAAACTCTGAAATATTAAATGTAATGAAGGGAAAATTTACCTCAGTTATATTTTGCTGAACACCTATGGTTGTGATTTACTTTTTATAGCAGAACCGTGTCTTCTAAGGCAGCAAGGTAAATGGACTAGAGAAAGTCTAAAAATGCTGAAGAGACCATATTTGTTAGCAGAGAAGGTTGGGGAGCTTGAAAATGTTGATGATCAAAATGGACAGACTATTTATCAAAGGCATTGCATGTGCTACATGTCTATCAGGAAGATGAGTCGAGACCACTTACCATACTGAGCAGGCATCCTTATTGCTCATTAAACTCCTTTGATTTAAACGTTCATTGTCTTATTGTTTTATTCTCAGCTGCTGTACTTTGAGCCTATGGTGTTTATGTAACGACCCGCAACCTGTTAACAATCATTCGTCATCCATAGATTTTGGAAGGCAATCATCACCATGTGCATCATTGGATTGTGCTTTTGCCAAGCATAATATATTAACTCCTTCAAAACAAGTCAATGGCTAAATTAGCAGTCTGACTGGAGGCAAAATTGTTTATGAGCTGGAGCAGAGTGCTGCTTGATAGAAGCGAATACGTGCATGTTGAAGATATAGAATTGAACTGTTAAGTAATATCTGTAATTCTCTATGTTTGAATTATTTAATATATTGGGTGATTCGATTATCCTTCTACAGCCAACACTTGAAGCTAATATTTCTAAATTGCTGGAACTGAATTAAAAGTGGGTCAAATCATGTCTGAAAAGTAACTTGTGTCCACTAGTATGTGGACACATCCTGATTTCTTGCTTTGTAGGTTCATATTAGTACAATCAAGAAGCTGATTAACCACCTAATTCAACAGGATCTTTGACTGCTTATCTAATTACAGGCTTGATATTTACCACAGAAAGGACAGTCAGCTCTCATCAAGAGTCAGGCTGCAATCAGCTGCAGCTTTCTAATTAGTCATTTATTTGCTAGTCCAGGTTTTGATTAGATGTGGCCAGAGGACCTCTGCTGAGGACATGTTAAATAACTCTGTATTCTATAACGATTGTACATTTTAGACTATGTGTCCTTCTTTGCTATTCTAATTCAGCTTTTCTTTTACTCACATGAAAGTGAAAATAGAGCAGCGCTTTAACATCACATGTCCTATTGCATGTTACAGGGAGGTTATACAGCTTTTCTTGTGGTGCAAAAAGCAAACACAAAAAAGACACAATATGATGAGTCTTAGTCAATAACGAGTGCACTCCTAAATGCGCTCAATGAATTGAATGGTAAGATGAATTGCTACTATATTTAGGTTACTTTGAAAATGGGCTGTCTTGTCTTCAGTTCTGCACTTCAAAACATTTTAGCTGTGTCCTAATTCAGACGCTGCACCAGTCCTTTTTCTTCCCCCCCACAATAAAATCAAAGCTGCTAGCTGGCCACTTATTAAAAATCCTTGATAGCACATTACCAACACTTTCATATACACTAAAAATAATCACTTTAATTATTTATAGAAATAAACAATTCTTTGTCAAATGATTTTCAGTATAAGCCTTTGTGACTCTTACTTTGTAAAATGATACAGCCAGAAAGCTAAATAGTTGTACCAGTTATGTTCCATTGGTTTAAAGTTCTCATTAATGTCTTGTGCTAATACAAAAGCAACTGCTTCACAGTAATGTTGCTCCAGTGTTTCTATGAGAGCCTTACTGCTTCTTTATCTCATCTAGGAAATGGGTCTAATTGCTGTGGTTTGAGAGTGTGTGCTATGCAGAGGGTTTTCTATCTTATTTGGTTTAGGTTTGTATTATAATACTGCATATACTGTACATTATCATCATTTGGTCCTTGTCAAACTGAATTTGGGAGAGTGTGTTCCATCTCAAGGACAAAAAGGTTGATATTCTTAAGCTGACAAAGCACTGAGGAAATTCTTTATTGCGTTCAGTGTTTTTAAGTTTCATATCGCTGAGCCCAAACTCGATATGTCAGTGGGGAAGGTTATTTGTTGACAAACTAGTTTAGGCATCTAAGGCTTTGACTTGTGTCTCCCTGGAAACACTGCTGCTGCACCCCTGCAAATCAAACGAGTCCCAGCTTGTTTCTTGTCTGTGTTTGCATTATTTTAATAAATACTGATTTTTTTAATGTTTTTTCTTTAGCGTGTCTATGATTTACCCTCTGTGGTCCTCTGTTAGGAACTGTTGGTGACTGTGAAAATTTAGTGCTATGACAGATGCTGCTAATTGTCATTGAACAGAAATGTGACTGTGATTTATTACTTCTCAGCTAAAAATAGTTAATGTGAGAAATCTTTTCCACTGATCCACTGAAAATATCAGTTTGTATGAGTTTGTTCTTTCACCTTTTGTGTTGTGCTGCTTACTATTTATTCTTTACAACTAATATAAATTATTTATTTAGTGCATACGTGCCTACATCTATGTGTCTCCATAGACTAAAGCTTCCCTCAAACCAGATGCTTTTTTATTGCTTAAAGATGAAAAAATTAAATTGTTCAAATCTGAATCTTAATACCATTGTATCCTTCTTTTGACATTCTGTAAAATAGTAAAATATTATTCATATCTAACCGCCTGCTGAGCTGTGGGGATAAAAATCTTAACCCTTTTGGTAACAATTATGGCTTAATAAGTGGCTTGGTTTTCTCTTCTTCTCTCCCCTGGTGAGAAAGAAGAGCAGCTTTGGAAGGATTGTCCCCCAAAAACTTCAATCTCCAAGGATGCATTACTTTAGCACGAGCCAGAGAAAGGATTTTCAAGTTAGATGTTACAATTCTAATACTAATTTTAATATTTTTCAACAGTATTTTATCAGTTTTTCTACAGATCATTTCCAAGACTCCAAAGCCTTCATGTTACTAAGACCAAAATCTGCAGATATTCCAATTAATTTCATGAAGAAGTTGTAATTAAAATGAGAAAAGCTTAAAACAGACTTTAAAACAGACTTTAAGTGTGCCTTAGTAATTTTATCTTGCAGGTATTTTGCAGTTGTTAAGAAGAAATTTGACTTTGCACTGTTTTTTCTCCATATTCACACACACTTTGTCTGTTTTTCATTCCAGCTTCACTCAAACTCAGACAAAGGTGATGGATCTGTCAGGTACATTCTGAGCGGCGAAGGAGCTGGGACTATATTTATCATCGATGAGGTGACAGGGGATATTCATGCCACTAAGAGCTTGGATCGGGAGCGGAAAACACATTATGTCCTCCATGCGCAAGCATTGGACCGTAACACAGAGGAGGCCCTGGAACCAAAGTCAGAATTCATCATCAAAGTACAAGACATCAATGACAATGCACCCAAATTTCCAGATGGACCCTTTGTAGCTTCGGTCCCTGAGATGTCTGAAGTGGGTGAGTAGCTCTTCAAAATATACTGGACCTTCAAGTGATTGTTCTCTACTGCCAATAGCAGTAAGCCTCCATTTGAATGGTTTGAGAGATGAAAAACTTTTGTTGCTTTTCAAATCTTCTTCATGTTTATAATCCTTTTTAATCCATCATCTTAAAAAAAGAAAACAAAACGTAAAACAAAACAATAAATTACAGTTAGATCTTTGCCGTTACACACTAAAGTACAACCCAAAGCTCCACCAAGATGGATTTAAAGATATAAGTGTGAAGAACCACTATCAAATATGTCATTACCCCGTGCAGCATTCTGGTTTGTCCTCTGCGATAATGTTCTCCAGAATGTTTGATGTTCTGTAAGCCAGCAAAGTCCTCTTTCTCATCTTTGTTTTCTGGTTGCTGCGATGGTTTCCGTCCCTGGTGGGCAGGTCTTTACAAAGCACTCAATAGTGGCTCTGCAGCAATCCCCGCCATTGAGACAGTGAAGTCTTCTATATCACGGAGAAAAGTAAAGCCTCTATCCACCTCCACCGAGACAGCGTCCCATACGCATAGCATCTTGTGGCGAACATCTATGTTGTATTTCTTTACTCTCTTGTTCTGTTTTTAGGTTGTGTGAACAATAGCCACCATTTTCTCAGTCCAGTGGATTCTGCCTCAAGACACAATAGCTCAAAAACGTTACTCTAATATTTCACAACACTCTTTCAAAATATGTAGGTTGTCCAAATGGTAGCCAAACTGCTGTCAGAGCAATTTTACTCGGTATACAATGTGATAATAAATTCTTGGCGCTGACAGTTTGTTGAAAACATTCCATTTCTATCCATCTGTCTAAAGGAATCTCCTGAGTTACTGGAAAATTCTTTAAACAGAAAATTAATAACTTCATCAGCTCCATGCAGGAGCGAGACGGAAATGTGATAAAAGAAATTAAATATGCAAACCCCAGCAGACCTGTACGCTCCCTCTTTATAAACAGTCAATATCTTCCTGGTTGTGTTCATGATTATTCATGGCAGGCCTCATGAACATATATTTCTAGTCAGTATATTTCTTTCTCAGAAGTGTCAGGCGCATGCCTTAATCTCTTTTGAGAGTGTGCTTTAGCACTGTATGCTGTGATACCTTGTTTACAGACTATCATTAGGTTTTTGGGTCCAGTTTTAAGTACATTAAAGGGAGAGTCTTCCTCTTACACATGTTTTAAACTCCACATGAATTAAAAAAATTCAGCAGTTGCTGTAATCGTCAGCACAAATGAATTCATTATAGGTTAATGAAAACAGCACTAATTTCTATATTGGCATTCTTAGTTTAGTTCTAACAAGACTTCTTATTCTAAAGTTCCCATGTTCGCTGCAAACTTCGTCATCGGTTACACAATAAGAATCAATCACCATTGATGACCCAAGGGAGGAAATCAAGGACTGTGAAGAGGAAAATAATTAGCCTTTTTTTTCCCCCCACCCCCTCTTTTGCTCATGTCCATTAAAGTAATTCCTCTTTGGTTTGGCATCTGCAGCATCAAATCGGCTGTAACAATCAACTGTCATCACACTCTAAAGCGCTAATCCCCCTGCATTTGTCAATACCGGAGCTCCCAAGTGTGGGAAAGGGCTGTCTTGGAGTATAGCAACTAATTGGTTGTGATGTTCTTTTTCCTGTCTAAATTGATCAGCTGGGCATGCTCCAGGTTGTCCAACTGTTTCATTCCTTTTATTTAATTGAACACTTATATTTTGAGTGCAAGATGAAAGGAGTATCAATTTCCTGCTTTATCTTTCCCACTTGAGACTGAGTTATAGTTGCTCTTTTCTTTAAAGGGAAAAGTTAGTGGTTTCAAAACCCAAAGGCTTGGATAGCCCCCTGTTTAAATGAATAGTTTAGATTAAATGCGTGTTATTGGGAATATAAATGTTATTGATAAGAATGTTAAGCAGAATCTCACAATCAGGTAAGTCTTAAACTCTTAATGAGCATAATAAAATGTAATGCTTGCACGCATTTGACTTATTTTTTTTTATCTCTTGCTATTTCCAGTAGATGCTGTTATCTATGAGAAAGCACAGATACATTTTGTTCTAATGTACTTGTAGCACATGTTGTTTTTGCTTTCACGTTTCAAGTTAATTTATCCCAAACTAGGAAAGAAGCTAACACAAGAGACGTGACTCAGGTTGTGAGAATAATCTACTGGTAACCTCATTATCCAGTTTCACAGTCAGACGAGCCCTTTAAAGTTAATTTGTTGTCCCGTATGACAGAAATATTGCTAAAATCTTTAAATAAGGTAATGAAATTAGATGTAAAAATTGTAAACAGGGTTTAGGTTAAGCAATGTTCTCCATAGTTCAGCTGGTAAAAGTTTCCAGCCTCCACTTTAGTTAGAGTGGTTGTGTAAGACATGATGGTCAAGCAGCCACCAGCTATTTGTGGTGTAAAAGTGTTAATCCCTTGGAAGACTGCAACATGAAATGAAGGTACAGTGACCTTAAAAGTCCTGAAAAAAAAAACAGATTTCCATTTAACTTCTCTGTTCTTTTAGAAATGAGATTTAAGTGTTCATTTTCTGCTGAGTACAATCAGACCTTTTAATGTAGAACTCATCAAGTTAATAACTGTAAATATACGGTACATATATACACTGAGTACTTGAACACTTGAGTTGAAGTGCGTTGTGAGCAAAGCCAAGCACACTGTACAGTGTATTAGGGAAGCATAATGAGTGCATTATCACCCAGAATATGCGTTAACACGAACCCGTTACCGCCTCTTCCAGCAGCCGTACACACAAAAACATTATATATGCTATCCCTGTGGGGACACTCCCTCATATAATGCAGCCTTTAGCCCCTTAACCCTACCTTAACCACCATAAATTAGAGTCTAACCTGAACATTAATTCTAAACGTAATCCTGAAATGAAGTCTTTACCCTCAAAAAACGCAGTCTGGTCCAGTCTGCATGGCTCCGTTTGCAGTCAGTTTAAAGTCTCTACTGGGATATTACAGCAAAACATTACCCACACACATACACGCAAACACCAAATAGAAAGCAGAGTAAAGCTGTTTTGTCGTTTCTGCTACGATTTATAGAGACGTTGCTTATGCCTGTAACAGGGAACAAGCTAAGGTCTGTCAGTTAAATCATGTTCTAATAAGTTTTAATTGACAGATGATTTAGAACCAGTTGAGTTTCCAGAGCAATCCCAGAGGTGATGAAGTCCAAATAATTCCCGGCACAATTTCCGCTGCGAGGCTGAGAGTACACAGGCATACTGTGAGGTACACGCTTCATTATGGCTGGCATTTTCCTCTGCTCCAGCAGGATTCCAAGGAAAAAATAAATCATATTTGGTGGGACACAGTAGAGTGAGTTTCCCTTTTTCAGTTTTCTTGTTTAATATAGTTTAATTCTCTAAGGAGCACAAGAAAGCAAGTGTCCAGATGCCTTAAGATATTTATACTTTATCTATCTGCATGCCTCTAGATCTACCTCTAAATACACATACATATACATTAAATAATGTTTTAGCCTGTAGTCCAATTACAGTCTACTCATCAAGTAATTATAATGAGTTAATGAACCTTGTAATGAGTAACACTCCAAGTGTTTAATTTCTAAATAACAAAAAAAACAAAAAAACAATTCCCATTCAAGCGTAATCGGAAACACAAATGATCTTTTTACATGACATGACATAGCTCATGACATTCTGCAGGCAAGATCTTTTTAAATTTAGTTTCATTTCTTTATTTATTGCAACAATAGTTCAGAATTTCTGGATAAGTTAAGAGATGCCCAGCATTTTAAATATCATATTATATCATTCTGAATCTAGCACTGTTATCCCATATTCAAATTACTATTATTATTATTTTACATGGAAATAATTTTTTTACATGAATCTATTTGTTAAAAAAAAACAATTGCACAGTTATAGCTTGGGTTGTGGCAGGAAGGTCATCAAGGATAAAACTGCCAAATCAAACATGTGGAGCTGCCCGCTGTGGTGACCTCTTGTGGCAAAGAAGCAGCTGAAAGTAGCCATAACTCATAGTTGCATTAACATTTGTAAACCTTTTAAAGAAACAACAAGACTAATGTGCTGAATTTTTGTTTGTTTGTTTGTTTTTTTAAGGCACATCTGTGTTGCAAGTCACAGCAACCGATGCGGACGACCCCACCTATGGAAACAGTGCCAGAATAGTCTACAGTATCCTACAAGGACAGCCATATTTCTCTGTTGACCCCAAAACAGGTATGGTATAACTGCATGCTTGGGGAAAAAAATGCATCCATGCTCTTGAAAGCATGGTAACAATGAGTTATAAATGGGAGGTATAACTTTGATGTCGATCTCCTAAAATGATGTGTGCGTCATGCTGTGAAGTCTTTGCTTCTCACAGTGGAACATCCTGTTCTGTTATTGCAGCACGTCTCATATTGTAAAAGCTAAAGCAGCCACGGCAGAGTTATGGACTGCTCATACAGTGCAACTGCTGTATTGTTGAGCATGCGATCCACTTTTTGTGAGCAATAACTGACTCCTCAGGGGTCAAAGGAGGCATTTGTTGAGATGCCTTCAGAAGCCATTGTTTCTTACCTTTTTTGAAAGGGGTTGGTGGGGGCCGCACAGCAGGCAGCGCTCAGTGTTTTTTAAAATCTATTTTTTGTCCAGGGAGGCTAATAGAATCTATTAAATGTTAATAAAGCATCTAAAGTGCAAGGCATAAATAACTTTTATATAATGTAAAAAAGCACGGAGGACTGTGCATGTGCATACATGTCTGACGTTTTGCACGCTTGCCTCTGTTGCTCCTGCTGCTGTTGGTTAACATGAACAACACTCTACTTGTAGGAATTGATTCATTGCTGTCTGGAACAAGTATTGGTCCCTGTGAGACCATATCGCCCATGTAAAACATGAATTCTTTGCTGAATTAGCAACACAAATAAATTGCTGAATATTTTGGATTTGCCTCGAGGGAAAAGGCAGTGGGGATTGATGGAGCAATTTCACAAGGGTGTGGTGATTCAGAAGCAATGCCGATTTTTGAATGAAAATTGGCTCTCTCGTGCAATGTAGCATATTTTATCCTCCCAGCTACTGGATTTGTAGCTTTCTATTTAAGTCACGTTTTTGATGTATGCCTCTGCCAGATAGACACTGGCACTTTAAATTCATATGTCTACAGAACCAACTTTTGCGATTTTGAAATTTTGTCACAGCTTTTGTAAAATTGTGACATTATTTGCCACCAAAATAACATTCGATGGGATCACAGTGAACTTTACCCATAATTAGTTCACCCTTGAGTCCACATGGCATAAAGCATAAGGATTTTCTCTTAGCCATTCCTGAGACAACATGTTCACGAAAATGTGATGTACAGATCAACATATGTATGGACAAGTGTACAAAAAAAAGCTCTCTTTGGGCACGATTGCCGCCAGCTTGGAGGCATAACAATGATTAATCACCAGTGATTTCCTTTTCCTTTTTCCATATGCAGAGTGTTTTTGACACATCAGATGGCTTGTTTTGCTTGAGCTGACTAGGCATCTTGTCTTCATTGTAATTCAGCATGGGGTGCAGAGGAGGAGGTGGGGATGCGATCGAAGGCTTTTCCAGCTGCACACTCTGCACAGCGCTGTTCCACCTTCACGTATTAATTTATACGAGTTGGCTTTTGATTTTGCCACTAGCAAACCGCACTCCTCCCTCAAATTAGGACAAGGGCCTTCAGCGGTCAGTGGAAAATGTGCAGGTTACTCTTGCATGTGGTCTTTAATATGCCAAGTCCAAGTCTTAAAGCTGTTGGAGTTGGCATGCTGCCACGTTTGAGTGCCACAATGGGGAAATGAAGCTGCTTCTGCATCTGTCTCACAGTGCATTAGATTGCTTACACCCTCTCCTAGCCTCATGTACCTGGCTCCCACTATGCTTAAACTGCAGAGATGCTGTCATGGGAAACACATATTAGTAGCAAGATTACAAGAACATACAGACAAAGACAAACAGACACACACACGCACCTCTTCCCATTTGACCTTGGTCTGGTGGCCTGATACAGCAGTGATAGATTTTACAAGACTCATGAGGTAGACAGAAAGATCACTTAAGGACAAGGGAATAATAGCATTTGGCCTGCACATATGGCATTGAGGGAATACCCAAAGGATTTTCTCAGACTTGACCCAAATCCTCACTAAGAAACAAAGTGAACAGTTTTACCTGTGCTTTCTCCCGAGCACAGTGGTTTTAACATTATCATCCCAACCACTTGTGTTATGAGATGGATGAATTGTGTTAAATGCTAAATTGACCACAATTACAGTGCATTACTCTTTTCAACCTCAGAGGAGGACAAAATGCTGACATTACAGGTTGTCTTAGCAAAGCATTCAAAAATTGTTGTTTCAGCTCCTGAAGCATTTGTGTATCCAATTAAGTAATTTTTAATGTCTTGCAGCTGTCTGATTAAATAAAATTACTTTACCTTAATGTCCCTGATCAAACTAAAGGGCACCTGCGGTTGTTGCTGTGGGGTACTTTATGCCTTTCAGTAATCAGAAATATCATGTATATACTGCCAAAACATTTATATTTTAGGACTCGGATTTCCCAAAAAACCCTCAAGTAACAAACAAACCAACCATTCCTGGATGTATTATTTAGTTTATGTAAGCTTTTCAAGTGAAAAAAGAAATCTTTCAGCTATTCAAAAAGGATTACTTGATCTAATTTGCAAATTAAGTCCATCCATTTGTTTCCGCCTAACCTTATTAGGGTTACGGAGGGGCTGGAGCCTATCGCAGCTACCAGAGGGTGAGAGGCGGGGTACACTTCGGACAGGTTGCCCGTCTGTCGCAGTGCTAACTGCAAATTAAGTGTTAGCTTAATTTATAACATCCCATAAAGCTTTAAACACTTCCTGAAACAGTCAAGCTTGACATTGGTTTACATTTATGTTTGTTACTTCACCATTTTTAAAAAGGTTAACACACATAGTTATAATATGAAAAAAGGCTTTCTTTAACCGTTTTATTCCTACAGCTGTAGGTCACTGATTCTAAGAGTGTGATGCATTTAAAATTGTGGATACAACACATAAAACATTGGTATCAAGAAACCAGTATATCAAAGCATTTGGTGAAGGACGTGGTGTCAAACTGATGTTTTGTTCTTTCTAGAGTTTCGTACATACCAGATATTAAAACACAAATAAACATCTGAGATATTTACCTAACCGTGGTCCAATTCTGTTTTACACTGTGCATTTCAAGGTCAGTCACAGACTGATGAGACAGATGTGCTGAAGCGCCCGTACATTTGGGTCACTCAAAGGTTCCTTTGTGCTGGGACTTACCCTGACAAAAGGAGCTAAAATTGTCCACAGTCTCTGCAGTGCAGAAACAGAAGAGAAGGTACTTCAAGTAAAAGAATGAACAGTTCCTAGGTTGTAAATTTGCCAGTAAATAATACTGATACAACTGGTAATGATGGAAGGCCAGAGGGGACAGTGTGTGCAGGAAAAAAAAAAAAAAAAAACGAGGCCACAGAATCCATTTTCATTTGTAATTTTTCACATGTTGCATAGAAAATAGTAAATTTGTATGCAGGCACATACTGTATATAACATAATAGGGTTTTTGCCTACTCTAGCGATATGATGTGCAATTTAAATGCTCTGATTTGTCAGTGCAGATAATGACAGTGTTTGACAGAATAATATTTCTATCACAACCATTTCAATTCACCAGTATGTGCAATATTTAGGATCTGACATCTGGATAAAGCTCATTAAGTCCTTGTAAGCTTGAAGAATCAGAACAGGAGAACCAGATTTAATGGTTAAAGGTGCCCGGCAGTCTGTCTTACTGATATAATTAATTACGATGATACCGGTTTAATAAAAGAGTAAGTAAAGAGGAGATTGCTAAAGCAGAAAAAGAAAAAAGGTAATGACTGAATTAGCCCGTGGACACTGTCATGATTTTAACATTATTTACTGTGAAACCAAGCGCTTCCAAGACATGTTATGAATTGTCTTAAATAACTGTTTCACAGATAATCAAAAGACGTATATGTATGTATATTAAAGTAACACTGACATTGCTACCAAATGTGTATTTTAAACAGACTGCTGCTAGAAATATGATTGCATGCTAGCTTGAACTTTGCCAATAAATGTGCGAATAATGTAAATAGTATTTATGCAGAGCCAAATGTACACGGTGTCCCTGGTATTATACAAAGCAAATGTAATTTAGAGGTGTGTTATATTATTCACTTGTCAGAAATTGATGCACGGAGACTCTGCAGCAGCACGCTACAACAGCATCACATATTCTAGAAGTGTACACAAGCTTATCAGTGATTACCCCGTGTGTTGCTTACTTCAACACTCTTAAAACAATGCGATTTTTTTTTTTTGTGTGTGCATGGAATTATTGTATATAGCATTTTCCTAGAAATGGATTTAACAAAAAAGAAGTGCTTTGATATTTGACATTTTTCTAAACATATTAAATTGTTGCCAAGAGGTAAATGAGATGACTACAACTTCTGCAGGGGGAAACATGCAAATTGTCTACCGGCACTTTTAAACTCACCAATTCACTGGATTATTCTTATTATTTTCTTCTTTCCTCTTTTCCACTTCAAACTACAGCAGCTTTCATGCTGTCTCTGCTTGTCGCCTACACTTTTTCTGGAGAGTACCATATTATTAACTGAAGTTTACAGTTGCCGGTAAGTGGATTTTACCCTTGAGCAAAGGCAGGCTAGATGTTTTATCTTAATTCCAGCCTTGACACTGGACTATCTACTGAAGGCTATAGAGTTAGATAACATTTACAGAAGTGATGCATTATATGGACATCTGTAAAACTAACATTTTAAAAACATTTGGCGGTTAAAAGTTTCCAATACAAGTCACAAATCATGTCAAGGTGCCCTTTGAGGAAGGACCTGGAAACCCCTACCTGCTGCGTTTGTTGTGACTTGTCTGGGGATTTGGGTCAAACAGAAGAGATGAAGCACAAGGACAACAGAGAATTAGACAGACAGACTGAACCGCTTTCTGCTGAGTGAATGTTAATCACTGCAGAGAAAGAGTCCAAAATGCTGCATGGGTGTGCATCTGACACATATTTCTCTGTGATGGCTCTGTCCCTTTTTATCCGAGTGCCGTTGAACTTTTTAAGAAATATTGATAGTCTGATGTTGGAAGCTTAGCGACTTGCTAACTCTGT